TTTTTTTTTTTTTTTTGACTGTCTTCTCAAAATTTTGTCTAAAATTTTTGAAAAAAATGTTTTTAATGTTTATTGGAATGTATTTGTGTTAATTTGCTGTGCTGACAAATTTTTTGACGATGAAGTACATGTTTTTATTTATATATATATATTTTTATTTTTTTTGCACATTTGAAGTATTATAGACGGAATACTTCAGTGCATTATGTACTTCAGTCTTCCTATTAGTTTCTTTTTTTCGTTTATGTGTTATTAGAATTTTGTTGAATTAATTTATAGCTATTTTGAGACGATCAGAATTCGATTTTTTAGCTGTTTACAACACCGGATGAATGAATATACACTAGAACAGCTTATATTATCTATTTATTCTTTGGAAAAAGAAAGAGCTTTTTTTATTATCTGATTTTTTGCATAGATTCTTTTTTTAATCACTGCAATTGGTGATTGATTATATTCAAAAAAAAAAAAAAAAGAAGATAACTGATTGCTATTTGTGTATAAAAATGTTTTCATTTTTAGCACTTAAATAAGTCAGTGAAATTTGATTAGATCTTTTTTTTTTTTTTATTTTTTTTTTTTACGTTTACCTTAAAATTGAAGTGTTTAAAAATTATTTGTAATATGATATTTTCTATTGTTTCACATTGGTATATATTATCCGTCGACTGATATCTGTATTATTGGCATTATTTTTTTTTGGATAACTATAATTGTTTCAGCATTTTCCAAATAAATCTCACTTAAGAAAATATTTCACAAGAGGATTTATTAACTTTTTAATGTTTACATGAACGAATAAGCCTTAATTCTGTTGTTTTTTTTTTTTTTTTGTTTTTGATTAAAATTGAAAGAAATTCTAAATTTCACATTATGGATTTGACTATGTTGAAAAAGTTTTGGTGTTGTTAAATGTGCATTCTCCCCGGAGCATTATCGGTTGGTCAACAGAAATTCAGCAGTTTACATCGGTTGCTTTTTAAGATATATTATTCGAAACAATGGGAGAAACATATTCTGCAAAAATTAAGTAAAAGTTGTAAAGCTTAATATTGCTATTTATTTATTTACTATTTTCATTCTTTAGATTATTGTCATTCACTCATTTAGTTTAATGGACTTTGTTGAAGCTTCAAAAGTCAGCTCTTGTTGACCATTTAAAACTTCTCTTTTATGTTTTAAGTCTCGATACACTTTTTTGTCTTAATTTATGATTAGTTTTTCGTCCTAAAGTTGATAAGCATTTTTTTTGTTCTAAAAGAAAAAAAACTTTGTTTATTAAAAGATTAATATAATGATTTCCTGGACGGAAATGATGACTGTACTAAGAATTATTTTTTTTGTG